GGAGTGAAAGGCCAAAAGATAGAGGTGATATTAACCTAGGTGATGCAAGAGTTGATATTGGTTTTGATGAATTAAAAACTGGTAGGAAGCAAGATAGGTACACAGGCTTAGTAGGGACAGATGAGCCTTACTTTGGGTCTTCAGATGCTGAAAGTTTTCCTTCAGATGCTGGAGATGACATGTTCAAATTGTGGTGGATATGGACACAATAAGAGGAGCTGCTCTAAGAAAGCAAGGCCTGCAGATTCTACTCCAGCAAATGCTTCATATATACAAAGATGTGGAGGAAAAGGAAGAGGCAGAGCAAGAGGAACAGGAACTGTTGGCAGAGCTTCAACTCCAACTACTTCTGCCCCTGCTGCTGCTGGTAGAGGAAGAGGAACTGCTGCAAGTATAGGAAGAGGAACTGGTAGTGGTAGGGGAAGTTCTGGGTTTGGACTATTTCAATCAAGCAGTGGGTTCACAAGTTTTTCTGTAAGTAGTTCAAAGTTAATTTTATATCTTGTTTGCTTTAAGAACTTTACTGAATATTTTCTGTTTTTGGCAGTCTGGTGGAGGTAAGCCAAGAGTGGTCTCTCATGGTGGTGAAAAGAGGTCCTCGGCAGATATTTTGGAGTGTGCATACAAGCCAAGAAGTGGTGTAAAATGGAATGGTAGACCAGCCATTACTAGAAGACAACTTGAAAGAACTGCTGCAACTCGTTCCAGAACTGCCGCATCTCAATCCAATTTAAGTCAAGCAAGTTCATCATCCCAGCCATCCAAGAACAACCACTGAATTCTGTTATTGTCACTGTTAATTTATTTTGAAACTGCTGTAATTTCCCTTTGGAACTATAATTTATTTTGGAACTGCTGTTAGGTTAATTTGGAACTGCTATTTAGGTTTGTTGTTAGTGTTGTTATTTTGTTAAGGCAGCCTGCTATTATTTTGGTATGCTGTAAAACTGGGCAGCGTATATTTTTGTTAAGGCAGGCTGCTGCTATTAGGTGACTGTAATGAACACCTTTACTCTATGATGAAATATATTTTTAGTGTTGTTTGATAATTTCTGGGCAGATGTGTCTTTAGTGTTTTATGAATGCTGTTATTTTGGTATGTTGTTAAGCATTTGTGCTGTCATTTTTGTATGTTGTTATTTCTAGAAAATTTCAGCATTTGAGCTGTATATCAGCCACTATTTGACTGTGTTTCAGTGTTTTATCAGTCATAATTTGAGGTGTGTTTTAACTGCACTATTAGCTCACACAGCAACAAAGTCAAACGAAACAACATTAACAATTGCCAAAAAAAATCATTCAACTCACACAACAACAAACTCAAACAAAACAACATTAACAATTGCCAAAAGATTTCATTCATTTCTAACAAAGGGATACAAAATCTACCAAGAAACTTCATTCATTTTCTTACATTATATAACAATCTTTAGAACTACCTAACACAATCAATTTCAACACAATTGCAATTAAAATCAGCACACACAATCTCCTCCAATTTCTTTGGTTTCTATTTTCCTTCAACAATGCATCAAATGCCCTCTTCTTCTTCAGCAGCCCCAAAATCACCATTTTCAAGTGCTCTGGAGTTGGGGGTCAAACCACATAAAGAAATTACATGCCGATCGACTGTCCCTCTAAAAAATTGAAGAGAAAAAATTATTACGGAATATAAAATCGATTAGAAAAGTACAATTGATATTTACCTCATAAAATGGACATCCGTAAAATCGACGACCCGGATTATCAACACTCCATGACTGTATCACCACAGCTTCTTCACCACAATAGCAAAATTTTCTCAGATTATGCATTTTCCCAAACCTTAAAATTGAGCCCTAGAAATTTAACCCTTATGTCAAAAAAGAGAAGGAAGAAATAGAAGAAGATTGTAATATTGGCTTCGAGCTTCAAGAAGAGGAATAAATTTTGGCTTCAAGAAGATAAAATTTTCTTCAATTTAGAGCTTTCAAGGAGGAAGAAGAAGATGAAAATCGGGTCCTAGTATAGATAGAAATGGGTTAAGGCCCTTTTAATCTTTTAAAAAGGGTCGTTGGAATGTGTTTTTGACTGTTTATTAAAGACAGAAATTGTCTTGAAATACTATCCACGCGCTTGGTCCAGTTTGTATTACACACGCTTAGACCTGGTCAAAGGAGGTGTGTACTAGACACACTTTAGAAAGGTTGCGTGTGTAAGGTTATTATGGTCCACAGAAAGTTTGTAAGCGGGATTTGGGCCATAGGTCGGGTGGCAACTTATGTAATTTCCCATTTTTTTGCCACCAACATCTCTAGCACGACTCCACCATAGCCACGGCCTTTGACACCAAATTTCATCGCCACCGGTCCATCACTGCCAAACCACCTAAACTCCAAAGCCTCTCCATTGTTGAGAATCTTACTCCAGTGTAGTAATATTCCAGTCTAAGTTTAATCACAATTTTGAACTCTAACATTATGGGGTCAACCATAGACTATTACTGTCTATCTCGATTTTGAGATTTAGGCAATATATTTGGAGTTGTAATTTCATTTGAGATGGCATTTATTGTCTAAAACTGTTTGCTGCCTGAGAATTAATTTGAGGAGAAAATTTTGACCTCCATTGAAGTAGCTTCGAGCTTGAATTAAAAAAAAAACCTGAGAACTTTGACTAAAAATCAATTGGGTGTTATAGATTCTTGTTGGAAACATTTTTTAAAATCTGAATCTAATGTTTGAGTGCATTTTAAGATGGTTCTAATTGGGTTTTGGTTCAAATTTTTCGGAGCCTTTATTGCGAGAAAGACGACCTAGCTTCCTTGAATTCGTACCTATCTTTTGAATTTAATCACTGGTTTATGTTTGAATTTACGAATATGTTTATTTCAATTGGTTGTTGTTTGCTCAGATTAGTAATTGTGTGTGCTTCTACTTGTTATTTGGAGAAGACGAGGAAGGGGTTCAGCGAGGAACTGCAGTAGCTAAGGAATTTGGCCGGTGAGGAGTTGGGGATGATGGTAGGTAAGGGGGTGCAGCGAAGGGGTTGTGGGTAGGGGTGTTCAAAACCAATCCGAAATCGAAAACCGAACCGAACCGAAGCTTAATGGCTTACTGGTAACGGCTTAACGGACGAAGAACGTATTAAAATTTTTTTATTAACGGCTTATCGGTTTGGGGGCGAATTATTCAATTTTCTTAACGGCTATTCCGTTAACCCGTTAAGAATATATATATAAAATTTATTTTTATTTATATATATCAAAAATATAAAAAAAAAACCTTGAATAAGTCATGTTCTTAATAATGCATATAAAATGGTAACGAGGAGAATATTAAATTTAAAACACCAGGTCAAACCATTATATGTTTCTTTAACATTGCAAAGCTACAGTCTACTACGTACTATGTTTCTGCTATCAGACATCTCGCTTTATAAAATTAAAGTCAACCATCATTTTGTAACTATTCTATCCAGATCGCGTGCTCATGCATGATTCGCCGTAGTGTATATGTAAATGATAACTTACAAGAATCTCGCATGCACCAAAAAATAATTAAGAAGAAATATTAAAGCCGAATTAGGGGAGGTACTATATTCTATTACAAGGTTGAAGTGGTGGTTGGTCACTTTTCCCTCTTGCTCCCAAGCAATTAGGACGGCAGCGAGCAGGAGATGAATGGGTGTTAGCATTTGGTAGGGGGAGAGACGAATGATAATTAGTACTTATTTTCAGTTTTATAAATCTAGAATCATTGATAATTTTGTTAGGCCAATAAACCGCACGATAACCGTCTGATAAGAGCTAAACCGATACCAATCCGCCTGATACCTTATCGGGTGGCTAGCAAATTAATACATTTAAAAGCCGATAATCGATAAGCCAAACCTTTAAGAGTAAATAACCACCCAATCCGCCTGATAAGCAACCCTAGTTGTGGGGGCCTTTTTTTGTTTTCTCTCTCTTCAAATTTGATTTTTTTGTCTTGCTGACATGTTATTTTCCTATTGGTCTTGTTTGTCAAGTAGATAGCAAGTGATATTCACGCTCCAAACACGAAGTAGAATTATTAAATTTGTGTTTAATAGGTACACTTTTATTGAAATTGAAGTGTGCAATAGGTATTCAGCTTAGTTGAGGTCTCAAAATGGAAACTGGAGCCAACTTTAAGGACCCGTTTGGCCATGAGTTTTGCCAAAATAAATTTGAGATTTATTTTCAAAACTCATGTTTGGCCATAAATTTTGTTCACATTTTGGCAAAATCCCAAATCCCAAACCCCAAATCCCAAAATCACCCCAATTGCTGATTTTGGGCCAAAATCCCAAAACTTGGGGATTATATATATGTTTTTCCAAAATAAAGTTGGGAAAAATGTTTTGAAAACGTATGTCCAAACACATTTTTATCTTCAAACCAAACTTCACCCAAATCAAATTTTTCAAAACAAATTTGGGATCTATGACCAAACGCTAGCTAAGGAGCCACCTAGGTATTTGACCCTTAAATTTCCACCCCAAAAACATTTTTATTCTGTATTTACAACTTTACTTTATATATATATATATNATATATATATATATATATATATATATATATATATATATATATATATATATATATATATATATATATATATATATATATATATATAACATGATAAAAGTAGAACAAAATTAAAAAATAATCTATCTACTGCACTTCTAATTTTAAACTTATTCTAATCCAAAATCACTCAGTATGCAATGTTTTAATTTTTTTTTACAAATTTTAACAACCTACTTAATTTAAAGAAAATAAATTGAAAACATATGCAAGAAAACACCTGGATTTTGGGTGTAACAATTTTAAATAATTATCTGGTGATAAATATTTTTCTTCTAAATATTTCAAAATCAAAATGACTTGGGCCGAATGTGGTAAAATCGGGCCTTATTAAAACTCACTAGCCCAAAACCATATCGGCCCATCTTTAATTTACGCGCGATCTTCTTATTCAGCTAAACTTCCCCATTTTCAAATTAACTGCGAACACGGTTCTCCGGCGAAGTCGACGTAAGTTCCCTTCTTTTTCTCTCTCTTTACCTTCAGCTAGATTTTTCTTTCAATTCCTTCAGCTAGATTTCCTCTTCAGTACTCCTCTAGAGATTAAAAACCCTAGTCCATTTTTAAAAATGATTTGATTTTGCTTGTTATTGAAGAAGTGCATTGGCAAAATTATGGAATTTAACTTAATTGTTACATTCTGAATCTAAAACTTTGAGCTGACAGCAATTTCTATTTTCTTCAGCCTTGGAATGTACTGCTATTTCCATTTTGTGCAGTTCCGATTAAGAGTAGTCCTATTCTGCTTCTTAGGCGGTCAGACTTGCAATTTCTGTTATGTTTGTAACGATTTTGCCCATATTTCTGTCTCTACATTGATCCGTAGCTTGTTCTGATGAAAGTGTTAATTATTTTATGACACTGATACATAATTTGGTGTTTTCTATTTTTAGTTTCAAGCTAAATTCAGAGCTAAACTCCGAATGTTTCTACAATATCTGATATAATTGTGTTTGTTTGTTTCATTGGCATATTAACTAGTTTGCATAACTTATCAAATATATATCATTTTTCTAGTTGGATGTCATTGATATAACTTGGAAGAAATGATCTCCTGTGACTATTTACAATTTGAATAGAAGAAAATGATCTAACAAAGATCTACTGTGTTATATTATACTGATCTCCAGTGAAGATGGCCATACAGCTAATTCAACATTTGTAGTGGGCCATACAACTGACCTCCCACTATAATTTGTGAATTTCTTTATTTTTTTCCCCTTTTAGGAGAGGAGTTAGTAACTAAATATTCAATTTTCTTAGTCAAGTATCGGCATATATCAAATAAATGCACAAGCATGTGAGATATATCACAAATTAGGTTTCACATAGTTATCTTATTTGTTCTCTTGTTTATTGACAACTTTTTATACGTGTCATATTTGTCCAGTTTCTGCAATTACAGATCCAGAATGGAAATAGAAGTTCCTGATCTCACGAATAAGCGCATGAAACCTTCTGTATGCCCTCTATCCACCTTAAGTTTTTTGAATACTATGATATTTTGCCTCACAGATGGTAATGTGCTACTAGGTGGCAGATAGTGAAACAACAGAAAATGATATTGAACTAGCGAAGGATGCCGAAGAAGAAAATGCATTGATCCCTGCCCCTATGGCTTCTGAACAGATGGAGGCGGAGATTGCCAATATTCTTGAAAAGATGAACCATTTTACTCAGCAGGTATATCAGCATATGTACTAACTGTTATACCTCATATTGCTTGAAGTGGTAATATGTCAGAATATACGAAGAAGTGGTTGAAAGCCTTGCCTAATTCCGTGTATGATGGGATTTTAATGTTGTTAAAACAGCGTTGAGCATTTACTTTTGCAAACGTGCCTGTGAAAATATTGATTTGCTATAGTTCCACATGTCTATATAGTTGACATCCTAATTGCTATCAATTTGAGAAGGTATCTGAACTGCTGGAATCGGGGAAGTCCATGCTTAAGGAACTGGGTAATGAATTTGAAGAACGATTGATTCAGTAAGTGAAAGTTAAGCAAGTAGTTTGACATGAATTGCCCTGTTTGCTGAACCTTATTGTTTGCAGAATACACAAGGAACAGATAGAAAAGTGGCAAGAAGAGATTAAGGAACTGCGCTTGCTTGACACAGCAAATGAGGATGCTGATGCTCTGTTGCTAAATGCGAAATATCTACTTCAGAATGTACATGGTGAATCCTGAGCTTATGCCGTAGTTGAATGTAACTTTTCAAGAGGTAAGTTGTCCATAGTTTGCTGGGTAATTGTCATTTTCTGCATTCATAGTGTACCTAAGTTCTCAGGAAATAGTAACTAAAATGTTTTCCATGTTCTGCAGGAGCATAAGAGTACCTTAAAGGAACTTCTTTGATGAAAAGCTGCTTACTTAGTTTACCATGTGATAAAAATACAACCTAAAGAACTTGGTGCTGGTTCATCATGATGCTGGATATAATAAATGCATAGCATCAGGTACAGCTTTTAGTTCTCTACTTCAAAATTTAAAAGTAAAATTGCAGTTTGTCTGGGGAACTTTTTGATGCAATATACAATTGAAATACTTTTTTCCCACCAATCTGATGTCTTATGCCATATATGCGGCCACATAAGTTGTTTAAAGCAGGCTGGATATTCTATACTCCAGTAATATTCTTTCCTCTCTCCACGTATTTCTAGAACTAGAATTGCTGAACGAAAATGAAATGTTGCCATTGTTCTATCGTGACTTTGATGTTAAAGAACAGGTTTTCAAGAAATGAATGCAAAACTTTTAAATTGATTAATCATATGTTTCAGTGTTTAACTGGTCCAGCAGAGGGCCATTAGTGAATAAGGTCAAATGTGAATATACGATACCAAAAGGTAACAATGAAGGTATTTTTGTTGGCAACTTCTAATGAGGGACAAAGTTAAGCGTGAATAAGCAATATTGTAGCTTTTTCCCTTTCCTTTCTTGTCCAAAGAAGAATAAAAAATCAGAAAGAAAGAAAAGAAAAAACTTCAGGCAACAAGTAAGATTGTGGCTGTCACCTGAAGTATCTGCGTACCAAGAATGGTAATCACACAACTTGTCCATGATAAATTTCTTAAAAAAATATTTTGAGCTTCTGAAGTTATGTTGATGCATAGAATACTTTGTTTTTGCAATTCTGTGGTGTTTTCAGCTGTTAAAATGATTTCATCTTCTTAATTACTTAGAGATGCAAAAGAAGTGATTTTTTCGGGTGAAAACACACACACAAAAAAAGGAAAGTTAAAACTCAGTAGGAAATAAACAGAGTTTTTCTCTGCTTTCAGCCAGAGTCTAAAATTGTCAGCTTGAACTTCCACTAATTCGAACCACACCGTTTAATCTCCACAAAACTTTTAGAAAAAGGGGATGGACGAACCAAACTGACAGTCCAAATTAAAGAGGAAGCGAAGCAGTGAAAAGAAACTTCCATAAAAGATAAAACTAGAGGATCATGACCATCAAAATACTTACAAAAATCATATTTATGGAAAACTAAATCTAACCAATAGACCCTATTGCATGACCTGTACTACTAAGCTAATGAACTGTCAACTTCTAGCTGTCGCCGACGGAGATGGGTTGGCCGGAGTTCAGTCCAAGGCGTGATCTGGAGTGTTGCCTGGACATGACAACCTCCCTTGCTAGAACCATTTTCATCTCTGGTTGTCTCAGGGACCAGTCAATGACATGGTGTTTAGACTCTTCCTGCTTAATCTTCTTCACTTGGTTGTGGACAAGATGATCATCCTTGTAGTTTTGTTCCAAGAATCTGTCTTCTTTCTTTACCATGTTGCTCTTCTTCTTCATCTCCTCCATATGAACTGACCAAATAACCAGAGTCTATTATATGATAAAGGACTTTGATGTGTTGTGTATTAGGACTTAGGAGTAATATATATATTTGTATTGGGTTTGGCCTCCAACCCCCAACTTACGACCAATCCCAGGTGGGAAGAAACTTGGTCGTGCGAATCAGAATGTGGAACGTGATTAATTTAATGCGAATTAAATGGAAAATTCAGAGTTAAGACGACTGTTTAAGACCATATACAGGATTATTTGACCGATGATTAAGCTACTGACCCCACGTGTACTCGTCAAAATTTGCTTCATCCTTATCATGTTTTGGATAAGTAGTAAAAACGTGAAAAACATTACTCCATGTTTGAAAATCGGTAAACAGTAAATCTTTCATCTATCAGTATATTTTAATTAGTTGTAACAACCTAGTTATATTTTTTCTCTATATTACTAACTTACTACTTACTATAAAAAGTACGTAGTACTTATTGTAAAAAGTACATATGAGTTCTAATCGTTTGTTAAATAATTTTATACTGTAATTTTTTTTTTCCATTATCAATGCGTTAAAGTTAGACCATATGGTATCTTTACAATTACATTGTTCTAGTACCTTTCTTTAAGCTTCTCTCATGGCTAATGGTCAATTTGATAGCATTTATTTCATATTAAAACGCTGCATTAGGAGGGTACTAGGGTTTTACCATTTTAAAAAATTACATGCCTTTTAATAACTCGGTATGTGTGAATTTTGCGAAGTTCAATTCGTTTGAGATTTGGATTAGAAAGATTGCTGCGATAGACGTATAAAAAATAGTTAAATTATAATAAATCTTTTAATAACTACAAGTTAAGCTTATAGTTATTTATTCATACTAGTTTGGAATGATAGATTATAATGTTTTGGTGTTTGATGATAGTTTAATTTCTTTGCTTTTCCAGTCTGTAATTTTAATGGGTTTAACAGTTTCCTTAACGTGTGAAAAGTTGGACTGACTCGAGTCTTAGGTTTGGTTGACTTTGGTCAAAAGCAAATGTTCTATGATAGTATGATTTGACCATCTAGTTTGGTATATTATTTGAAGAGTATTCACAATCAAGAAAAGGAAAATCTTCACTTCTAGAACATGATTCAGATTTCAGGCTAACTTTTAGCAACAGTTCAAATATGAAACTTGATCCTTGAGAAGTCTAGCTCTGCCGGTTAAAGTTTTTATTCTCCTATGAAATTGACATAGCAGTGTCTTTGACCAATTAACTTCGTTGGTGGCACTAGTTCGAATCCCTCTAACTTGATCATGTGTTTACCTTTTAATATTCTAAATCACGTTGGTAAAAATTCTGGCTCTTCTAGGAGTGGGCAGTTGGCCAAGGCTACATGGACTGGAAGTTTATGCCGTTAAGTTTGGTAAGAGAGAGCCCGTGTCAAAGTGGGCAAACTTTTTTGGTTGTTTGACTACTTAATACCTGTTGATAGCGTGTGACAACAGACGTGAACTGATCTTCAGTTTCACATTTTATTCTGTTTCTGAGTATAAATCTTATATGCTACTCAAAGATTAATAACAAATATGTATCACGAACACGAATCACCACTACATACGCATGAGTTTGCAAAATTGGTTTAAGTTTATTGTCGTAATACAACATTTATGTCTTTTGGATTTGAGTCTACTGATTTTAAGATTTTATTTTCTATCCTAAATTAATATAATTTTTGAATCTTTAAAGCGATGTCGACATTTTGTGTGGGTGTGTATATATATATATAGGAGCTGATACACGCTTGAAGCGGTGTCATGCGACACCGTTTCGTCGGAAAATTTTACTTAATATATGTATTATTACTGTATGAAAAAGGACAAATAGGAAAAAATGACACCACTTAACATAAATTGTATATTGGTGTGTATTGTAATGTCACATGGTTTACATGTGACTTGTTAGTTGAGCTATTAGGCTGTTAGTTAGATAGGTAATGGTAGTTATAGTTGTTAATATAAGTTAAAGGGTAGATTAGTCTTTTTACACTCTTACTAATCTTCTTCTTCTTAGCTTCTTGTATATGACGATACAGTCTGTTCAATGAAATAGTGGCTTGAACACTTTTCTCTATCGACTCTCTTCCTTACAATTGCTTCCAAAACCTTCCTCCATTAGAGCCCTTCGATAATCTCTGTATTTTAGCATGGTATCAGAGCAGCGTACCTAGATTGAGTCACGCTAGATCTTTGAATTCTTCTTTTGCTTCTATCATCGATTAATCGAGATTTGTTGAAGCTCGTCAAATTTCAGTCATGCCGGAGTCTGATTCGTCAGTGTTGGAGATGGTGACGATTGATCACAATCATCCACTTTACATTGGACCTTCTGATAATCCTAGATCACTCGTGATACCTGTGAAGCTTATAGGCTTAGATAATTATGGGCTATGGAGTAAATATATGAGAATAACACTTTTAGGGAAGAAGAAATTAGGTTTCATTACTGGTAGATGCAGCAGGAGTGCGTATGAAGGAGAGCTGCTCGAACAGTGGGAGACATGCAATGCCATTGTTCTCTCATGGATTATGAACAATGTGTCACTGGAGCTTCTAGTTGGAGTTGTAAATGCATCTGATGCATATCTAGTATGGGAAGATCTGCGAGAAAGGTTCAACAAGGTAAATCGTGTTAGGATTTTTCAATTGCATCATGAAATTGCCATATTATCTCAAGGAACTAGTTCTGTTTCAGTATATTTTTTCGGAATTAAAGGAATTATGGCATGAATATGATGTTTTGGTTCCATTTCCTAATTGTTGTGAAAAATCGAAAGAGCATGCAGAAAATTTGCATTAACAAAGAGTTGTGCAATTTCTATCTGGTTTGAATGAGTCATATGACCAAGCTAGAAGACAAATCCTTATGAAAACAAATGCACCTAGTCTAAATCAAACTTATACTATGATTATTCAAGATGAGAGTCAACAGAAAATAGGAGTGAATGCTGTAACTTCTGATAAGATAGAGCTTTTAGCTATGCAAGCAGGACGAGGAAGAGGAAGGAGACATTTAGAATGTGATTTCTGTCATCTTAAGTGACATACTAAGGAAAATTGTTATAAGATTGTTGGTTATCCTACTGATTATGCTCCTAGAAGGAGATATGGTGAAGGAATAAGGACTCAAGGTGAATGGCAACAGAATCCAGACACTAGAAATCAAAATGTTTGGAATGGGACAAATAATGGTAAACCTGGATGGAACAATCCTAATACTGGTAAACAAGGTGGCAATGCTGGTAAACCAGGTGGCTGGAGAAGAGAACCTATGGCTATGATTAACAATGCAGATGTAAGTACATCTTTTATGCAGGATATGGGTGATGGCCCCTTTGGAGTTGCTCAGCACAAGGATATCACTACTTCACAAATGACCAATACAATCAGATTCTAAATCTGTTGAACAAGGAGTCACATCCTGAGTTAAGCATGGCAAACATGGCAGGTCCAGGAGCAAGTGCAGGAGCAGGTGAGGTTAAATGTCTAATGAGCAATTTTACACAAAAAGGAGAAGGAATGGGTTGTAGATTCAGGTGCTACCCATCACATCACCTCTGATTTAGAGTTATTATCAGATGTTAAGTATACAAAGAAAACTGATAGGGATAGAGTGCATCTTCCAACTGGAGAGCAAGCTAATATTACTCATATCTGTAGTGCAAAACCCTATTAGACAAGAGAGAGATCAAGGATGTACTTTATGTTCCTAATTTCAACTTTAACTTGCTCTCAGTAGCAAAGTTAACAAAGGAACTAAATGTAATGCTAATTTCTTTCCTG